TGATACTAAAAACTGAAAGAAAACATGGCTTACCTCGTAAGGTGCTTACCTATTTTCCCAGTGGGTGAATTTAGGTAAAAGTACCCAACAAGCATTTCAATAAATGTTTTTAAAAATAACTTAAAGTAAGTTTGCTATAATAAGCGTTAAATAAGAATTTTTAATATTAAGCTTATTAAAAGTTTTTTCAAATAAACGTTTAATAAGTTTTGAGAGCGAATGTTTATAAATAACTTACGCAATACCTTACCAGCAACTTACACTTCACCCGGCTGTCCTTACCACGTCACTGACGAATCTCCCTTACTTTAACAAAGACGTGGCCGCCTTATGTAAGTAGGAATTTAGAATGTACATTTGGTATCAGACATACTTCTGAGCCGCTTTACAAAGTAAGTTACGTGTAATTCAGAGCAATCGCTCGGAGTAGTTCGGTGCTTGGAAATAACTTCGGCTGCACGTTATTTTGCAACTGACAACGTAATGTGTCGTCGGAGGTGTTCATTTTGCGCTTTACTAGTAGGTGACATTGGCCATGATGACAATTTTGCTACTAAAAACTGAAAGAAAACATGGCTTACCTCGCACAGTGGTCCAATCTGCTCTATTAGGGTAATTTAATTATTATATTAAGGACTAAGATAGATATCGGGATGAAATTTTGCACAAATTATGTCTGAATGACTAACAACTTCTGCTCATAAAATGGGCAAGATCGAATAGCGACCACGCCTACCAACCATATAATTAAATAGTTAAATTTTTCGTTAATTTCTGGTACATTTTTTAAGCACTTGCGCACGGCTATAGATACCTGCATACCTAAAACTTTTTTAACTATTTGGGATGAATTAAAAATAGAAAGTCTGTTATGTATATGCTATATTGACGCCAGATCCGAATCATCCACCTAATGTATATTTAAAATAAAAAAAATAAAAACTGTGAAATAGTCAGATCAAGCTTAACATCTTTTAGGGCCGTTTCCTCATCTAACCTTTAGATTACCGGCCACTTTATCGTCTCGATATACGAGTTTTCGTTTTCTCATCAGCGCATTAATTTCTCGAATCGATAAATTGTTACTCACCCGATGCAACCTCTAAGAATGTGTAACCAACATTAAATTTTGTTTCGGTTTTGGTTCATCAGTCAGATATATTAGATATTTCAACCAAGGTTTTGGTTTTTGCTAACAGTTGCTCTTTCTCTATATTTACTTATGTTGCATTGTCAACCTTTGAAATTATATGACGAATGTAGTGAAGTTTCACTCTACGGAATAACAAATTTATTTTTACCAGTAAGATAAGGAAACCAAAACACTTTAAAGTCAGGAACAATTTATCTGCCCTGTTAGTAAAGGCAAATTTACTGCTTACATTAGAAAATGGCCCTCAGTAAGTAAACGATACTGATGCTTTGATAAATTTGTGTCGAATATACCGGCACACAAAAAAAATTAGTGTGATGTGCATTTGACCGGACCTACCTATGGTTATGTATTTCGACCCGCAGAATTCGAATTTAAAGTCAGTTTGGCCAATATACCTCCTAAATTTCGAGAAAACTTCAAAAAAAACCGTAAAAGTAGTGAAAATCGGCAATAAAAAACGGTTTTTTGAAGTTTTCTCGAAATCTAGGAGGTATATTGGCCAAACTGAATTCAAATTCGGATTCTGCGGGTCGAAATATATAGCCATAGGTAGGTCCGGTCCAATGCACATCCCAGTAATTTTTTTTGTGTGGCGGTGTTATTAGTGCGAGAGCTTCTTCAGGCGAAATACCTTTAGGACTCTTCTTTGCCAATATGACCTTCTTAATAGCAGTACCTCTTTCTGGAGAAGCACTTAAAAGCTCATTAAGTAGCGTAGCTGAAGATCTAATTTTTAGTTCAGTGGCCGTAAGAAATACATCTGGTTCGATAACTTTCAAAGACTCATTAGCTTTCTTCATTTTAACTTTTTGGCAACGATCTTCAAAACTTTAACTGGCCTACCAGCAGAAAATGTCGTCTTACCAAACTTAGAACACACAAATTGTGACAAGTCAATTTCAAATTCGAGCCAATCTTTATTTGCAGTAACAAACCGCTCTCTTTTTCGGAAAACTTTTGTCCACTTAAGGCCCAAATTCTGAATTAACTTCACACGTATGATTTCAATTTAACAAATTTGATTCTATCACTAGATCCTAAACTGATATTCCCTGGTACAAAATCCATTATTCCATCAAGTCTTTCATTTTTAGGGGCCGACAGCCAAAAATCAAAAATTTCCTGTTTTGAAATTTGAGGAGTCATTTTGAAAATTGAAAATAAATGTATGGGTGCCGCAGCTAGCCGCAGAATTTTTTTGTGGATTCTATTAGTATATACATCAATTGAGAGAATAAGTACAGTAAGTGATCTATATTCTACCATATAAGAAAGATTTCTTCTACAAAAACAAAAAAATAATAATTTGGTACACATCAAAAAGATTAAAACTTTATCAGCTCCAAAAAAAAAAAATGTGCGTCCACTTCGGTAATAATTTGAATTTTCTTACTTAAACAATGAAGGAGAAAGAACTAAGTTAAAACAAAGTTTCTTTAAACAAGTTATTGAGCCTTAAAAATACTGTTTTTGTTGCACGCACAATTTCATTTTTTACTTATTGCTTACTATGACTTTTGGATACCGTTATGTTTATATGTAGCCAAATTTTTTCAAACAAAGTTGTATTTACTCGTAAGTAGACAATATTCTTGCATATTTGATAAAAATTTTATTGAAAAATTACAAACAAAAAATTTAATTAAATTACCCTAGCTTTGCACATTGGACCACTGTGCCTCGTAGGGTGCTTACATATTTTCCCAGTGGGTATGAAAATAATTTTTTAAGTTAAAATTGGCTTTTTGGAAAAATTTGGATAGTTGTGTAATCTTGGCAGTATTGCTTCCTCTGAAAATGTCTAAAAAGTTTTCGTGGCTATGAAATATCTCGAAGCTAGATCGAAGATTCGTGAGCCCTCTACAGTGAAAGGTCCGGTGCAAGTAACCGTCAGTTTGTCCACAAAAACATTGATTCGTGCTTATTGCACGAACTTTGTAAAGATAAGCCCTGTCATACGTATGGCCAGATAATACACGGTTAAGTCTTTTAACTTCAGCATGGGACAGCAGCAGTTTCCTGAACCACGTTGTCTTTTTTCTCATTGGGAAAGTGGAGGCAAAAAGGTTTCGGTGCTCGTCCGAGTAGGCTTCAAAATTATCATACCAGTTTGTGAAAAGGTCGCCTTTTAGCTGCCTGAAAGCTTCGTCCATGGTGAGTTTACAATTCCTACTGGGACTATTTATCGTTTCTCAATTTCGTCCGCCTTTTCGTTCCCTGGTATACCTTTGTGGCTAGGCGTCCACACAATGTCTGTTATAAAGTTTAGTTCGGAAAGTTTCCTAATAATTCTGCAGGCAATGCTGTTTGTAGGTTGAGGTTTACTAAGAATTTGACATGAGCTCAAACTGTCCTTGAAAATTACCAATTTTCTGACCCTTTTTCTCTTTGCAATTTCGATAGCCTCCTCAATCGCAAGGAGTTCACCGAATGAGGAAGAAGTTTTAAAGGGGATATGAAAGGCATGTTCAGATTTGTCCAGTCCTTTGGTCAGACAAGGAAGCGTCAGTGTACATCACCTGGAATTTATCAGTCAAGTAGTTGGTTAATAAGCTGGCATGCTGCGCTCTTACACTTTCCGCCGTGGTGAATGCCTTGTTACCTGTAAGAACTTTGTCAACGATTTTTACGTTGGGGGAAAGGGAACACCGGTCAATCTCATCAAGACAGTCAACAATGTGCTCGTATTGTCGATAGACCATCGAGTAGCTTGATTTTATGTTCCGATTTGAGATGATAGAGTCTAAAATCGGGTCCTTGTAGGCAAGGATTTTCACCAGCTCTTTAGCTGTGAGCCATTTTGCACGTTCTGCAGGTGGTAGCTCATTTGAAAGGGCGTAAATGATGGGGGCAGGAGTTGAAGGAGTGAGACCGAGACACCTTCTTAGGAATTTGTTTTGCAGCACTGATATTTTGTTGAAAGCTGTCTTAGAGCTATTTGCGGCTTTAGTGTAACCGTACTCGATGTTTGACCGTACCAATGATTTATAAATATTTAAGGCTTTCTGAGGATGTAAATCTGACTTAATGTTAGTTAGGTACTTAAAAAATTTAATGTTGCTAGACGCGGCTTCAACAGTGGCAGTATAGTGGCTATTGCTAATCATTGCCATATTTAAAGTTCTTCCTAAAATTTTTACTTCGTTGACTTGTTGTATCCTACTACTACCAACAAGGACGTCTATTGCCCTTTTCGACCCTTGAGAGATGTGCATAACATTTGTTTTAGAGGGGTTAAACATTAAATTAAGACGGTTACACTTTGCTACAAACAGATTCAATTTGGACTGCATGTTGTTGACTGCTTCCTCAAAATTGTTCCCTGCAGAGATAAGAAAAAAATCGTCCGCAAACTGATAAATGTTGGTATTGCAGTCGCCCAGATTGTGGAGCTTCGCGGTGTAAATGTTGAAGAGGAGGTACACCATTTTGAATTTGTGTAACCTTATCGCACAGCTGCAGAATTCTGAAAGAAGGGAAGTTTATAATCCAGTCAACATAAAGGCTTTCTATGTGCAAATGAGTTGATTTTTAAGAATATTGGCATCAACACAATTGTAGGCATTGGAGACATCATAGGTGCAAAGAATTACTTGCTTTTTGTTACTTTTTAAAAGCTGTATTTGATGGATTAACTGATTTAAACAAACTGAGGTGGACTTATTTTTCCTGTATGCAAAGGTGGAGTGAGAGAGAATGCTATTCGCTTTAATGAACTCATTTATTCTATTTTTGACGC